AGCAGGACTTTAATACCTAGTTCAAGGTATGGCATAATTTATTATGAGGACTGAGTGAACAGAAGAAGAAGATGTTTTACACCACAAGACACTGACTTACACTGTTCAAGCATACCTCGATACATAATAACAACTTTATTTACTTTTGAAAAATGAAAGTTAATTTTTAAATATTCAAAAGCTAACAACTGCTTGCTCTAGGAAGCCATGGAACTACAGCTCTATTTACCCTTTCAAACTAAAAAAATTCTAAACTCTGGATTACACAAATTTACAAGGATTAACAACAGCTCATAGACAGGATGGTTTTACCGGAGTAGTTATCTATAGCTTTGGGAACAGATTTTACTGCCACTCTTCCACATTCTGCTCTATGGACGTTATCACATGGGGGAAATCTGCTGGTTAATCCACACAAATCCCAAACAGAAACTGGATTTGTGCCTCACAATTTCATACTATGTCGTACAGAAACTGGACAGAAACTGGACAGAAACTGGTGTTATCCGAGATCTTTTGAAATTCTGTAGTTTTGAGGAAACACATTTGTGAAATTACATTAATTTCGCATTTACTGTAATGTGAAAAGCAAATGCATATTTGGGAGCATTTCCCTGCTTTTTCCTCTATCTGTGCATGTGCAAGAAGATCATTTCTAGTACATTTACAGGCTTTTTTCACTTGTGTGTGAACATTAAATGTGCTTACTGTAATTTTGCAATTAAGGTAATTATGTGTGAGAGCCATTTGCGAAATCAAGGTTTATTTTTGGTTTATTTTTGGAATGCCTCATTTCCACTTTATTATCACTTTCTTGCCCACGTGTGATAACGTCCTATGTTGGAGAGTTGTTCTGTTGATGCTAGTCCCAACAATGGCATCAGCAGAGCTCTCCTTCACCTCAGAGCACCTGCAGGATGAGTGGCAATAAATCCACCGGAGTGAAATTGCTGCCCTGGAGTGGCAGACCTATATACTACCTCAAGGACAGGGGTAGGCAACTGCCTGGGGTGGTATCCTTACCCACGCATAACCCTCCATGCTGTAGCTTTTTGGATATACCAAAAGTGGTATCACATCACATTTCAACCTATTTTCCCCACTTTTTGTGGTTTGAGGGAATTTGCAGCAGGCTTGGGTCAGTTCAGCTGATTTGAGGGGAATTTTTTTTTAAATAGGATTGGGGTTTTAGAGATCACTGAGGGTTTGAGGACTGCAAAAGTGGATCTGGGGTCTGGATATGATCCACAGGCTTCCCCTTTGCTGCTTTACTCTAGGAACAGAGACACTATGCCTCTAAATGCCAGTCACAGGGGAACAGCAGTGGCAGAGGGATATTGTTGTCATGTCTCTAGAAAGTCTACAAGTCACACAGGGTTGACAATGGTGGACAAATCTGGCATGATTTGCCAGTACTTTGCACTCAGGAAGGGCATCTGGGGCCCAACTATGTGGCATATGTTTTTGTCTTTCCCAGTAGCAGCACCATTTGTCAATTGTTTTAACATCCATTTTAAAATGGATGACCATCAAATAAAATAAAATGGTGTTGTTTATGGCTATATAATGAAAATATAATGTTATATATCATGTAAAGATTTGTAGATCTTCTGTCAGGGGCTCAAAACTATCATATGGTGAGCTGGGAAGGGAAGCTGGGGTTACTCCTGCAGCTGTTAAGCAGCCTGAGTGTGGGAGCAAAGAAGGAATGTCTCCCTACCTCCAGGAGGCAAAGACCCTCCCTAGCCCCATTCCCACTGCATCATATGGCCTCCTCACTTTCCCTCCTTCCTTGCTGTTACATGGCAAACACTCCTGCCACCATTTACGTTTAGCATGGACTTTTTGGATGGCAGTCCTGTGGGAACTTGTTATCCCACCCCTGCCTCCAAGTTATGTGTAAAGGACCCACACTATTCATTGTATGATGTCCCACACCAAACTTTAAAATGTTAGTAGCGTGTTTTGCTTTAGAAACATAGGCCAAGTGATGTTTAAATAAGAACAAGAGTTTATTTTAAAACAGCATGGAATAACTATAACTTGTATCAAAGCTTGTTACTGTAGGCTTGCTTGGTTACATGTAATAACGTTTGTTTCCACTTCACTTTTAATACTTCAGCCACACTGGCTAACAATATATCTCAAAAGAGAACACTGCAACAATGCCCTTCTTTAGAGTTCTGTATGTGTTTCGAGTCCCTCCTGTCTAGACTCAATCTAACAAAATTACAGTTCCCTCAGGAACTCCCCAAAACACAGCCCTCTCTCTCGCTTCACTCCCTGACAACTCTCTTCAACTGTCCATTCCAACTGTCAACTTGGAATTTTCAAGTGCTCCCAGCTTGAATTCTATTGGTTGGCCCTCAGCTGCCTCTGGATTGGCCAGCTGGACATTCTATTCACCACACTTGCCACCAGTTATTTTGTGGGCATAGGAGGCCTCTTGGGAAATAGATCTCCAGAGTCTCTTCCCAGCCCACTGGAAGTCAGAGGGGAAGGGAGGGATTCAAGAAAAGAGCTCCTTCCTCAGATCATGTACAGGCATAAGCCTTCTTTCCAGCTTGATCCGAAGCCCCACACACCCTGCCCAGAAGCACATACCTAGTCAGCCAGCTCACAGTCTCATTGGTGTGCATCCATTGTTGCTGACAAACAACTAGCCTCCTCCAATTTTGTTTAAAACAGGGCAGAAATTTCAGTGTTCACAGGGACATTTGATTACCCATCTTGGGAAATAGAATGCTAGAAAGCCTTGTTTCAGCAAGGCTTTTGCTATATGGATTCAATGGATCCTAACTGCAGGAAAAGAGATTCCACTTAAACATTAGGAAGAACTTCCTGAGAGTAAGAGCTGCTGGACGGTGTATTATGCTGCCTCAGAGTGTAGTGGAGCCTCCTTCTTTGGAGGTTTTTAACAGATGTGAGACTGAGGGGGATTGCAGACTGCCAGAAATAGTGCAAATTGAGTCCACTTTTAGGGTTAGGGTTAGGATTAGGATTAGGGTTAGGGAATCATGGGATCTGTATTTTATTGTGTCACTAGAGGTCTCTGATCGAGAAGGCTCAATGTCTCAGGGGGAAAAAACAATTCCCATGATTCCCTAGCACTAACCCTAACCCTAAAAGTGGACTCAATTTGCACTATTTCTGGCAGTCTGCAACCCCCCTGAGAGCTCAACAGTGAAGAAGGCTGACAGAAGGATAATCAACTCATTTGAGATGTGTTGCTGAAAAAGAGTGCTGAGGGTACCATGGACAACCAAAAATACAAGCAAATGGGTCTTAGAACAGATCAGGCCTGAATTTCTCCCCCCAAACTGAGACTATTATACTTCGAACACAAACTTCTAATGAAGTTAGAAAAGTCAATAATGCTAGGAAAGGTGGAGGGCAAGAGAAAGAGAGGAAGACTGCATACTAGATGGATAGATCCAATCAAGAAAGATTCAGCCCTGGCCCTGCAAGGCCTGAGTGCAGGGGTTGAGGACAGGCGGTCTTGGAGGTGTCTCACTCACAGGTCACCAGGAGTCAGTGTCAAGTCAAAGGCTGTTAACAACAACAATAACAAATCAGAGGCTGAATGGCCATCTGTCAGGAATACTTTGATTGTGTATTCCTGCATGGCAGAGGGTTGGACTGGATGGTCCTTGTGGCCTCTTCCAATTCTATGATTCTATTCTATATTATCACCAAAGTACTAATCTGTATATATTTTCACATAACATGTGAAGACATACCATCTTCATGCTTCTCTTTCACTGGCAGCACAGAAATTGTTAGGCTCCTTTCCTTCAATAATTTCAGTGGCAGGTAGTTTTGGATCCTGACTATGGTCATCATCATTCCTCACAAGCTTATGTACAAAGGCAACAAGGAATCTTATATAAGATATGTTTTGTACGGTTGTCTTCTATCTGCCATTCATAAAATGTACAGCATTTGAGATTCAAATAGTGGCTCACCAACATCACCATGCCCTCTAGGGTAACTGCTTGCATTCTATTCTTGCCCTATTTTTAGAGATCATTGGTGGCTGAGAATATTTTCCTATTAGTTATACTGTTCCTGCACCATTAAGTGTGATTTGTCATATATATATTATAGTTGTGTTTCCCTCATAGTGCTAAATAAGAATAAAAATGAGTGAACTGGGATAAAAACCAGTTTTAAAAATATACATTAAAATGTATATTTTTTAAACTGACTTTTATCCCAGTTCACTCATTTTTATTCTTATTTAACACTATGAGGGAAACACAACTATAATCATGAAATTGTATGGATTTATTGCTCACATACGTCACCTCCACCAATGCTAGAATGGATTCTTAATAGCAGAACAACCTACACAGGTAAGATTTTTCTTTAACCTTTCAGCTTCTTTCAAGCTGTTTATGATCATGTCTGGTGTGTTCTGAAAAGAAAGTATGGGGTCATGCTTGTGTTGCAGATGAGTACAATTAAAGCAGTAAAGACGGATCTCTTTCGGCAGGCCTTCCCGGAATAACGGTCGGCCCACGGTTGGGCCCCATAGTCTGACTCCTTGGGTTTTAATTTGTTTTAATGTTGTATTTTTAATTCAATTCATGGTTTAATCTTATTTTAAGGGGATGGGGCGGGGGGGAGGGGGTTGCGGGAAGGGGAAGGGAATGTTTTAATTATGCTTTGTTTTAACCTTGCTGTTCCCCGCCCCGATTGCTCTGCAGAGGGGCGGGTTATAAATAAAAATTATTATTATTATTATTATAATTATAAGTCTGCATTAAAAAAAACAACCCCACATCGAAGCAAGAAGCCTCATGCATCATGAGCTTTCTGCACCAAAATAAAAGATGTTCACTGGGGTTTGTTCAGATTAAATCTCATGGCCTGTTATTGTTGTTTTATGCCTTATGATGAATCTATTCTAGGGTTTTCTCAGCAAGATTTATTCAGAGGCCATTGCCTACCTCTTGGGTAAAGAGTGACTTGCCCAAAGTCACCCAGTGGGTTTCTATGGCCAAACAGGGATTTGAACGCTGGTCTTCTGGAATCCTGGTCCAGGATTCAAACCATTATACCACACTGTGGCATGTAGCTTTGCCCTTAACAGTCATTCAAACCATTGGTCCATCTAGTGTAGAACTGTGCATTATGCAAGATTCTAGGCAAAGGTTTTTTCTGCACGTTCTACCAGAAGTTTCTGGGAAATGAATCTATGACTTTCTCCATAGTACAAAGCTGAGTTATGCCCATTTGTAGAGAAGGTAGGTAGGGAATGCAGTTGAAACTGTGCACACAAAACACGTCCTAGCATCAGGAAAGCAGCCAAGATTTCTGTCAGGCTTATGAAATGTGCCTAAAGTAATGGCAATGTAACCATTATATCAAAGATATATTGAAGGTGGAGAGTGAACACTGAAGAGGAAAATAATGAGCATTTAAAAATGGATTAAAGACTTGGGACAAGATATCACATTAAAATGTCTAAATTTTAGTTTTAAATGTTCTTGTAATTTCAATGTATTTCTTCATTAAAAGAAGATCAATGTAAGTTATTAATAGCTCTGAGATAAGCAAGAGCTGAAATACAAGCTATACATACTGTAACTGCTGGAAATATATTTGTGCTGAGATGGGATTTCTTCAGAGCTGCTAAAGCATTTCGAGAGATTATGGATTGAATTTGAGATGTTAGTTCCACTCTTAACAGCATACCTTTCTGGGCAACTTCTAAAAAGATGATTAAAACATATTGCACAGGGTAAGTGCACTATACTGGAGGTGTGTGTGCGGGGGGGCAGAGATATTGTCACAAAACAAATTTGGAATGTAGGAAGTTCCAGGAGCAATGCACTATATTTTGTGGTAGCTTGATCTTGATTGGGCAATTAAGACTCATTAGCTTTACAAATTATCTGCTCTTAGTGATGATGAAAACAAGTTATAGCAAGCTGCTTTGTTGATACAGACCAACAAAGGTGCCTGAACTTTTGGATTGTCTGTAGAGCCATGCCTACATGAATGGATGTGATGAGTGTATGAACAGGCAGCTATTCTTCTGGCCATCTGTTTTTGGCTACGGTACTTCTTATAAAGACGGAGAAAAATATATTTGCTTGGGTGTAATCGGTTTGAGGGGGATGTGTTAGGAAGTTGCCTCATTATGTAAGACAATTTATCAATCTAGTTCTATATTAACTGTCATTTTGACTAAGACTGCATTTGCACTGAAGAAATAATCCAGGTTGACACCATTTTAAATACCATGGTTAATGCTATAGAATTCTAGGGACTGTAGTGTTGTGACATTTAGCCTTCTCTGTCAAAGACATCTGGTGCTACAACAATTCCTAGAATTCCATAGCATTGAACCATGGCTATTAAAGTGATGTCGATTTGGATTATTTCTGAAGTACAGATACAGTTACAGAAGGTATTCCCAAGCCTATGCTTGACAAGGGGCCCTTTCACACAACACTTTGATACTTATAGTGCTATAATTCAACTTTACCATTATTGTAGTCTTTAGCATTGTGGGATTTGTATTTCAGAATTCTCAGCCAGAGAGCTCTAGTGCCCCACAACCAAAGTATTGCCCCACAACCTCAGGATTCCACAGGATACAGTCATGGCAATTAAAGTGGAATCATCATGCTATAAAGGTCTAGTGTGAAAAGCCCCTGGAGCATTTCAAAATGGGCACATATTCAAATAAATCCATGACAAATTACTTTTCACTCCACATTTCCTGGGTGAGGTGGCAATCTATTTTTAAGAGAGAGAGAGAGAGAGAGAGAGAGAGAATGGATAAGCCCACTGTCTTTCTTCAGTAGTGGTGATCATAAGGTGTATTTTATTCATTCTTTGTAGTAGCTAGTGTCATTTTGGATTAATTCTGCTGCTTTGTTCAACAGTACGTTCTTTTTAAAAAGCAGTACTATCTTTAGGACTAGGACTTGTCTAACCTGCCTAAATATAGCAGGATTTAGGTAGTGCTTTCACTCATTGTGAATGTATACTGGTGCACAAAAACTAAAAAAAACTAGAGATGTTATTTATAAGTGGAACAAATCAGACACTGGTAATGTATGTGGTCATCCCTAGGGAAAGCCAAAGGCACTGGATCATATTCTGGGCTAATGGGCTGCAAAATGTCCGGGTAATGACGGAATTTTATTTCTGGCACTTTGACAGAATTTATCTATTTTGGGAAAAGCTTCAGGGGTCCCCTTAATGTATAACTAAGGTCATGTCCAGTCATATCATTTTTAGAAACTTAGAAATAATGATGGTCGCTTGGCAACCATATGGCTGTTACACTAGGGCTCTCAGGTGGCTTGAGAGAGTTTTCCCTGGGCTCTTGTGGGAAATGAGTAGGACCTATTTTGGAGTAAGCCAGGAATGAATGAAGTGTTAATATTGTGGTAGACATGTTTCTGACAGCCTGCTTGCATGATGCAGGACTTGAGCACAGCAGTTTGCATGACAGCCCTGGCACCAGCCCATAGCAGTCAGATTTCTTGGCATCAGCACAAGAACACAATATGTACCTTCCCATGTAAGGACATGATTTCAGTCCCAACACAGGAAAACCAATAACCATTGATACAGCATATTTTACTATTGAGTTCATCCCCAAAATCCATTGCTGAAATGTAGGATTCCCCAAGGCTGTCGTGTCTAGGCAGACATAAAGCAGAAATGGTGTTTGAACCCATGCCAGATCTTAGTCTAAGTTTCTTTTCCTTATAAAATGTTTTATAAATGCTCACTGCTTTTCAGTTTTTAGATATATACAATGAAAATTCTTGGATTTTTCCAATTTTTCTATTTCTATTAATAGGTAATAGATTTCCCTTTCAAGTCAGCTTCCATTTACAAAACAACTGAGTGAAACTTCTAAATGTTTATTGTGTGCTTTTCTTCCAGACTACCAAATATTAAAATCCTGCTTTCAACTATGGAGCTAGATGAAATCTTAGAGATTCTTGATAAGATTGCATGGCATTTTTAATTTGATTTATTAGTTGTTATTCTTTATTTAAACTCTTTTAATGTTTGAAACCTTCTTTAACTTGTTAATGTGTTTAATAGGTTTTAGTCTATTAAATTTTTTGGTATTATTTCCAATTATTTTAGTATTATTAGTATTGATTTTATCTTCACACACATATTGAAATCTTTTGATTATAGGGTGAGCTAGATATCGAGTGGGCATGATGTAGTGGTTTAAGTGTTGGACTAGGCCGCATAGAGACCAGAGTTCGAATCCTTGGTCTCCCATGAAAATCCACTGGCTAATCTTGGGAAAGTTACACATTTTCAGCCTTAAAAGAAGGCAATGGCAAACTTCCTCTGAATAAATCTTTCCAAGAAAACCCTATGATGGGGTAATCATAACAGAGTCAACTTGAAGGCACGTAATCAAGGGATGTATATGTTTTAATAAATAAACCATAACATTTATTGTTGTTGTTATTCCTCCTATGTTGTTGTTGCTAGATTCCTCCTCACCTCCTGTCATTGCAACAGTTCTGTGATATAGAATAAGCTGGAAACATGTGGGTCACCCATTGCATTTCATGGCTCAGTGGGGACTTGAACTGGGGTCTTTGAAATCCAAACCCAAACTTCAGAGCAGCTGCTGGAGAGACTGACTGGAGGAGAGTTTCCTGACGTAAAGCTGAAATTAGTAACCTTCTGGAAATTACTGGAACCCTGTTGCAGGCCAGTCTGATTTGGTTGTTAACTTTGAAGCCTAGAAATATATATATAAAGTATATAATGCAAAACAAATAACAGTCTACAACTGGGCAGAATACCTACTTGAATGTAAACAAAGAAATGAGAACACCTGCATTTCTGTTAATACTGGGATATGAGCCGATTTGATCAATGATAACCTAACCAATGATAACCAATGATAACCATTGCATCCTAGCAGATATAATGGTTGCTGTAATTTGGTGGAAGGCAGACAAAAGACAAGATCTAGCAGCAGTCAGGATTGTTTATATTATCTTATATCCAATAATCTGATTGTGTTGATGCATGTTGGTGCAGAGATGGGGGTGGGGCCAGGCTTTCAGAAGAAGTGTCCAGGAGCAGGCACTCTGTGCTAGGTAAGCCTCCGGTGCTCTGGCTACCCATAATTTTTAAGCCATCATTTTTGTTGTTGCCTACCTTCAAATTGATCACACAAGTGCACAAGTGGCCAGCAGCACCAATGACCCATCACACACCCCATGAAACAAAATGATGACAAACACATCATGTTATCAAGAATAAAACGGATTTAATAAAAATATTACCAAACTGGCCAGTCTAACTGGGGGCCATAGAAAGAGGAGAAAGGGGGTATATACAGGAGGAAGATGTCATAGCTGGACAGGCACTCATTCTTCCAGGAAGGATTTGAAGCTGCCTTGGGTCTCCCTGAGCTGGCCTTTCATGGCAGCAACCATCTGCCCCAGTTAGCAAAGTTCAAGAGGTGAGCGAATAGAGTGGGGGGGGGGGGGCTCCATGATTGTGCTATGTCAACTTGTCTTATGACTTGTCTATGTGGGTTGTTTAATCTGAATTCCCTCTTAGTTCACTGTGTCCTGTTTACATGACACAGGGCCAAAACTCCAAATTGGGCACAGAGTGCCTTCATGATATCTGCACCCAATTCAGCCTTTCCTCCCCTTAACCCATATTTTAAAATATTACTTTTTGTTTCATCTTTTTGGCTCTCTCTGAAGTGGCAGTTGGCGGCTGCATTCCCATGCAGTCCCTGTAACCTGCCTGGTGCTGCCACTGTGGGTGAGAGTTGCTTTGAGGTAAGAACAAAGCACCCAGGTGGGTACCTCATTGTGACCTCAGTGGGTGGCACCAGGGAAATGAATGGGGATTCTGTGGGAAGGCAGCCGCCCATTGTCACTGCAGAGAGCACAGGCAATGGGGAGAGGGAATTCAGTGCCAGAATACTCTGGGAACAGCCCAGAGTATTCTGGCCAGTGAAGATAAGCCCTTAGAGTTACAGATTTGTAAGTGATCTGTATTCAGCAAGACTATATAGTCATTATTGCTAACATATGTAAATGCCAT